CCCCCCCCGTTAATAAAGGGAAGGGAGATGGAAGGGGAAAATAACCAAAGATTAAACATTAATCTCCCCGGGGCCGAAAGTGATCGGGGTGGGCGGGAGGGGACCTGTAGCCTTCGGGCTCCTGCTGTGCCTCCCGGGTCTGTGGGGCCAGGGACAGGCCCCTCGATGGGGTCCTGAGGATGTCCTGGCCACTCCCGGCTCTGCAGAGGGCCAGGATGCCCCTGTCCCATCCCATCCCCGGGCAGGGTGCTGGGGGACCACAGGCAGTGCAGAAAGAGGCTCCCCCAGACCAGCTCAGAATCTCTCTTTATTATTTAAATCCATTATGTACAACGACCAAAAAATAAAAAAACGCTTTTAAATCCTCTGCGATATGAAAACTACAAGCTCTGTACATGGACTGCCGTGAGTGCAAGAGTGGAGGGTCATGGTCTTTGGTGGCTAAACTCGCGCACGGCCGGCACCCCCCCGGCCCCTCCAGCCCCGCCTTGTGCCTCCCCACCGGGATGAGGTGACGCGGCGCAGGGCAGGGGCCGCGGTGACAGGAGCACAGGGTGGCTCTGGCTGCCAGCACGGGGAGGGTGCACCAATGGCTCGGCCGGTGGGAGTGGAGCCGCTCCCGGTGCCATCCGGGCCGGCCCGTGTGCTCTGCAGGGACACCAGGATGACCACTAAGACATCGACATCACGCAGTGTGGACACAGCCCGGGGACGCTGGACGTGTGGCCCAGCTGCAGACCCCTGCCCGAGGGGCTGCCCGGGGGGCACCGACCGCGGGGGTGGAGTGGGGACGTGGGGGTGGGCGGGGAAGGGGAGTTGAAGTCCATGGAAAGAAGGCAGTGCTGGACATCCCCTCTTGGCAGACGCTGCCGGGATTCCTGGTGGGCTCCCGGAGCAGCCCTGCGCTCCGGGCTGCTCCCGACGTCCCAAAACACGAGGGGGGAGAACTGAAGACCTCACTTCGGTAAAGTACCACAGGGGAACACGACCTCGCCCGCTGTGCCGGGGGTCCGGCGGGCCCCGCCCAGCGGCGGCCGAGCCCCAGAGCACCACACAAGCCATGGCTCCTGACTCCGGGAGTGGGAAGCAGCTCGCGCAGCGTGGCGGGGTCGGAGGGGACACTACTCTAACCAGGACTGAACACGGTTTGGCCCAAAGCGACACTGTAAGCAGAGCTCGGCTGCTCGGCAGAGCCACGACTCGAACACACATTGCAGACTACTGGCTCTGGAGGGGCGGCGTGGGGCGGCTGCGGGGACCCCGAGGAGGGGGTGACCCCGCAGCCCCTCCTGTCCCCCGGGCACTGCCCGGGGTTGGCATCTCTTGGCGACAGCCTTTCACTCGCTGCGGTGCTGGTGACTGATATCTCCAGGCAGCCTGGAAACGGGACCGCAGGGCAGGGCACGGGGAGCAGAGCCCGGGCTGAGCATCCTCCTGGAGCCACAGAGGGGTCTCCCCCAGTGACCCTCTGAACATCCCACTGGAGCCAGAGCAGGATCCCCCCGGGGTGACCCTCTGAGCATCATTCTGGAGCTATAGAGGGGTTCCTCCCAGACTGACCCTCTGAAAATCCTACTGGAGCCACAGGCAGTGGGGTTCCCCCAGCGTGACCCTCTGAGCATCCTCCTGGAGCCACAGGCTGTGGGGTCCCCCCAGGCTGCTCCCGTGCCAGGGTCCAGGCCACAGTGCCCAGGTGTGGGACAGAGCCCCGTTTGGCAGCACATCCCAACCTTGCAGGGACTCAGCACCTCTGAGGCAGGATGCTCCCCCAAGCCGAGGAAAGGGACTGGGGGGTCTGCTCAGTGGGGACCCCTCTGTCCCCAGCTTTGCTGCTTGGCATTCGTCACACCAGGGGAGCCCTGCCCAGGACCCCCAGCTCCTGGCACCTGCCCCCAGGTGTTGGGGAAGGGGGACCTGGCTCCTGTTGGCCCTGGTCCCCCATATTCTGCCTGCCCGGGGAGCCCCTGCCATGGTCTCCATCCCCCTCCGGCCACCCCGGCAGGGGACCCGGGGGGCTGCCTCTCCCTCCTCCCCCATAAAGCAAAGCAGAGCTGTCTGGGGATCGAGGCGGGCGTGAGGTGGCCGCTGCTGTGACAGAGGACAAGCTGGAGGAGCCGCCAGCGCCAGCCCCGCCCCGAGGACAGGCCCGGCCCCTGAGGGCAGTTGTGGGGAGCTGAGCTCCCCAGAGAGGCCAGAGCTGGGGCGAGGGCTCTGTCCTGTCTTGTGCCTCCAGGACGAGGGCAGGACTCAGGACAGATGGCGATGAACAAGGAGGGGAGAGCCCGGGTAGGGTCCCCCCTCGGGGCAGTCAGCAGAGCCCCCTCCTCACCCAGCTGGGCCAGCTCCGGGCCTGCACCATTCCCACCCCTGCCGTGCCCCCGTGCCCGAAACAGCCCTTCCAAGGCCCCGGGTGCTGCCTCTCACCTCACCTTCCCCGCGGCACGGCGGGGCTGGTGCTCGGCTGCTCCTGCCGCCGGGGTGCCCGGGTCCCTCCTGCCTGCGCTCGGTGCCGCCGGGACTCACATGTTGGACGGGAGTTTGGGCTTCCCCGTTTCCACCTCGGGGCTGAAGGCCACGGAACCCTTGCGGGAGGGACCTGCCGCCTGCCTGGACGTGGAGACCGGGGACTGCGGGGTGGAGGCTCCCGGCGCGGAGCGGGCGGGCTGAGCCAGCGATCCTGAAGGCATCTGCTGCGGGTGTGAGGGCTGGGCCGGGACCCCCGGACACGGCTTGGCGAGGAGTCCGGCCACCGAGGGAGAGGACCTGCGGGCCAGGTTCCCCGCGGATTTCCTACCCTGCTTCAAGGAGCTCCCCTCGGCTTGCTGGGCCACTTTGTTGGGAAGGGAGGGCTGGGAGGCGGAGAGCAGCCGGACATCCTGGGTGAGCCGCCCCACCGGCAGGCCCTGGATGCTCCTGTGCTTCACCAGCTGCTGGGGCTGCATCAGGAGGGAGATGTGGGAGCCGGTGGCTCGGGACAGGCTGTAGTGGAGCGTTCTCCCCGGGGGCAGCGCCTGCTCCGAGCTGGGGGACGCCGCCCCCGCCGCCTGCTGCAGCAGCGAGGTGGAGACCGAGGCGCCGCGGGACCTGGAGAGCTGGGGCTGGGGGCCGCCCGGGGGCTGCTTGGGCCCTCCCGGCATCTCCCCCCTCTGCGCTGCTCGTGGCAGGGGCTGCGCCCCATGGCTTGGTCTCTGGGCCCCGCTGTCCAGCGGCGCCTGGGACTGGACCATGGGGGAGGAGGGCGAGCCGGCAGCGGGCGTCTGGAGGTGGGACTGCGCCCCGGACGGCGAGCTCACGGAGGAGGGCCGGGAGCCGCCCAGGCTGGGCTGGGAGCGGCGCACGGGCTTGGTGAGCAGGGTGGTCTCGGGCGAGAGGGGGCTGGAGATGGAGGAGGGCGGCAGGAAGATGTGGGCCTGCAGGCTGTGCTGGTGGGTCAGGGCGATGGCCACGTTGGTGGTGGCGGCTGCCGTCTGCAGGGGCGCGTGCACCAGCGGCTCCCAGATCACCGGCTTCCCGCTCAGCTCCCGGCCCATCGCCATCTGCTGCAGGTCCTGGATGTTGTGGGCCATGTCCTGGTCGTGCTTCACGATCTGCTGGATCATCTCGGTGTTCATGGGCCCCGAGCTGTGCTCGGCTCGCTTGCGGAGCAAGATGGAGTTCTTCTTCCCTGGGTTGGGGGGCAGGAGTGTCACCAACCCTGCTCTCGGGGACACTGCGGAGGGCAGGGTGGCAGCAGGGAAGGGACAGTAAAGACCAGTGTGCCAGGGGAAGCGAGACCCTGGGGAGAGTCTGGGCTGGGGCAGAGGAAGCAGCAGGGACAAAACACGGGAGTCCTGGCTCCAAAGGCTCCAGGATGGGGGCTGGGGTCCTGCTTGTCCTCCGCAGGCAAGGAGGGGCGAGGACAAGCAGCTGGCCAGCACCAGACAGTGCAAGTGTGGGGGGGTGATGGTTTCCCTATAGGCCTGTCCTATAGCACTGCCTTAGAGGACAGAGGGATCCTGGAGGCAGGCTCCTTGGCTGTGCTCCCCCTCATCCTCATTGCTGGGCGCTGTGGGCTGGGTGCTGTGACCCACAGGGTCTGTGATACCGTCACCTGTAGGGCCAGGGTGCCGTGGCCCCTGGGAGCGGGCACAGAGGGGTCAGTCACTCCTCACCTATGCGGTCCAGGCGGTCCATGGCCACCGTCTCGAAGGCCCTGCGCATCATGGGGTACTCCTCCAGCACCTCGTTGAAGTTGTCCACGGACAGGGAGTAGAGGCGGCAGTAGGTGTCGGCCCTCACGCTGGCCGTGCGCCTGCCCCGGGTCAGCAGGCAGATCTCTGCAGGGAGACGGGGCTGGGGGTCAGGGTGACGCTGCCATCCATCCCTTTCCCAGCAGGCAGAGTGGGAACAGGACTGCCTGGCACCCCAACACCCTGCACAGAGTGCAGCGCGGCTCGGGAGGAGGGACAGACCCCAGAGCCTGGACAGGCACAGCCACACCCATGGCCAGGAATGGCCTTTTCCTCCCTCCCCAGGCCATGTAGACCCAGGCCTGGCTGCTGTGATGGCCTGGCCTGTTTTCCTCTCAGACTTGTGTCTGTAACCTATAAACTGTCTCAGATGTTCTGATTTAAACACCCTCTCCTCCCTGGCAGTGGGGTGGTGGATGCCTGCTCTGCCCCAGACCTCAGCACTCCAGCTGCCCCTCTGCTCTCATCTGCTGAGCAAGGTACCCCAGGAGAGCATGGGGGCATCCTTCTGTGCCCCAGAGCCTGGGGTGAGGTGGATGCCAAGCCTTCAGCGCCGGGCAAGAGGGGATGGGGAGGCAGAAACCTCAGGGATGCCCCAGTTTCTTCCCCCCCGGCAACTCTCACCCCCCTCTGCTCTCCAGTCCCCCCAGCCCAGCCTCACCCCCGAAGTAGGAGCCATCAGACAGCTTTGTCTCCTTGTTGCCCTTGGTGAGGATGCTGACCACCCCGTGCTGGATGAAGTACATCTTCTTGCCCACGGTGCCCTCGCGGATGATGAAGTCCCCGGGCTGGAAGACCTCGAAGCGCAGCTTGGTCAGCATGGCAGTCACAAAGTTGGGGTCGGCATTGGCAAACAAGGGCATGTTGGCCACCAGGTTGCGGCAGTTGAAGTTGATGATCTCCTGGGGGGTGAGGAGCAGGGATGTCACCCAGCCTGGCCCCAGCAAGCACCAGCCCCTCTCCCCCAGGGCCAGCCATTTCAGGGTGCCTGCCCCCACCTCTTTGAGGGGCTCACTGAGCTCCCCCAGGATGTTCTCCTCGTCAAACATCTTGCCCTGGTAGCGGTGCTCGTAGTACTCGTGGATCCGCTGGCGCGTGTCCCCGGGCAGCTTGTGGAAGGACATGTACTGCTCCACTTGCTTGTACTGGGGGGACAAGGGGAACACACAGGGATGAGTTGGGACCCACTGCATGGCCAGACAATGCATCCACTCTCCTTGGTGGTGAGAAGTGAGGGCTCACCCCTGCTCCAGGGCCCCATTCCAAAAGGCCTCCTCCGGGGCAGAATGCAGAGGGTCCCAGGGGTTCCCAGGGCAGAGACGGGGATGGGGGTCTCACTGCATCAGGGTGAGACCTCAGCATGATGAACGGGGTGTCTCTATCCCAATGGGCAGCCTGAGGTCCCTCCCCACACCCCCAGGGTGAGTGGCAAGGGCGGAGACCCCTCTCTCTGGAATCAGCAGGGCGAGGCAGCTGTGCTGAGCTGGTTCTGGAGCCGGACCCGCTCGTGCCAGGGCTCTCCCCCCCGTGCTCCCCTGACCCCCCTGACCTTCTCCTGGTACTGGCGACGGGAGGAGTCCAGGGACTGGATGAGGGCGGTGGCGTGGCCGATGAACATGGCATAGCAGGTGGCCCCCACGATCATGCTGAGCATGGTGAGCCAGACGTCGGTCATGCCCTCGGGCGCCTGCTGCCCGTAGCCGATGCAGAGCATGTGGCTCATGGCCTTGAACAGGGCGTGCGAGTACTGCTTTCCCCACGAGTCGTTCTGCGGGCGAGGGACAGCGGCGCTGGGGGGGCTGTTGGAAGGAGCTGAGGGGCTGAACCCCTCCCCAGTCTCCCTTCTCTAAGCTGGGGAGTTCAGAACTCCGGTGAGAAAAGCGTTGCTGATGTGCCCAAGCCTAAAGGGTCAAGCTCTGCTCCAGGAGGCGGCACTGGGATGATGGAAGCCCTGAGGTGGCACCAGCTCCTGCTCCGGGGAGGAGGCAGGAGGCCCACTGTCCTATCCACCCCCTGAGGGATTCCCTGACTCCAGCAAGGTGGGCTGAGATGGGAAGTTGAGGCAAAGATTCCCTGTGCCCCATCTCACTGCTGTGACCAGAGAGATGCTGCTCAGCAGCACATGGCTCCAGGCAGCTCCAGCCTTGGAGGAGCAGGAGATATGTAACCAAATCCTCTCCCTCCTGTCTGGCAGATCCTGTCTGGAATCACCCCTGCCCAGGCACTCACCACCATGTGGTTCTTGGAGACCCAGCAGTCCTCAGGGAAGTCCTGCAGCATGGGCACCAGGAACTGGAGGCATCCATCCCAGTGGCACAGCAGCAGCATCATGCCAATGAGGTTGAAGATCCTCACCACGGCGCTGGCCAGGTCGTACGTCATGTGGAAGATCTGGGGGACAGGCAGGAGTGGAGCTGCAGAGAAACTCTTCTCCTAGAACAGTCCTTGGAGCCCCTCTGCCCTCCAGCCAGACACACCACACAGCCAGGGACCCCGACCAGGGGACCCCCGAGGGGTTCTCACCTCCTCCCACTGGTGGATGTAGCGGATGAGGCGCGAGAGGCGCAGCAGGCGCAGGAGGCTCAGGATCTTGGTGAAGCGGACGATGCGCAGGGCCCGCGCTGTCTTGTAGACGTCAGAATCCACCTGGGTCTCCAGGTCGACGATGAGGAAGATGTAGTCGACAGGGATGGAGGAAATGAAGTCGACCAGGAACCAGCTCTTCAAGTACTTCATTTTGATGGTGTGGGGGTCGAGGATGATCTCCGTGTTGTCCTCCACCACGATGCCTGTCCGGAAGTTCAGCACCAGGTCAGCCAAGAAGAAAGTGTCCGAGAGCACGTTGAAAACGATCCAGGGAGGGGTGTTCTCATCCTTGAAGAAGGTGATGCCCACGGGCAGGATGATCAAGTTCCCCACCATCAGGAGCAGCATGATGAGGTCCCAGTAAAACCTGCAGGGTGGGGACACGGGGATGGAGCGGGGCAGGGATGGAGGGGGGAGAGGCAGGACACAGGCAGGGTTAGACAGCAAAACCAGGCTTGAAGCTGGAGTCCAGCACAGCATGGAGAGGCAGGTGCTGAGGACACACGTGCCTGCCCACACACATGACTAAGACCCTGCTGCTTGGCTGGGACAGATGTGAGTAAACGTGTGTGGAGAGAAGCGATTTGGCGCCGGGCCAGGGGTCCAGGGGTGCAAATGTCACCTCTCGTGTGTGTGGGAGTGAGGGGCTGGAGCTCGAGGGTCTTGGCTGTCACTCTCATCTCCTACTGGCACGACAGTGCATGCACACGTGTGCCCCCAGCCCAAACTTGATGTGTGCCCAGTGGAGAACTCAGGGAGAATGTGGGCTTTGCTCCTTGGAGCTCCCGGAGCTCCCTGTCATCCGCCAGCTCCCCGCCACCACCCGGGATGGCTTAGCAGGATTTGGGATAAGCTTTGCTGGTTATGCAAACAGAGCCAAGCTCCTGGGGCGGCCGAGGGACTCGGGGAGGCTGTCAGGGTGAGCCAGGCTGCAGCCAAGCAAGGATAGACAATCCCAATACCAGGGGAAGGTGGGAGGAACGTCTGTCTCCAAAGGAGCTGCCAGTGCACACCGAGCAGGAGCTGCACAGCCCTGGGCCTGCAGCACCCCTCATCCACCTCCTTTTGCTGAGACTGGATGAGCTCAGAGGCTTTGGAGGAAAAGCCAAGAGATTCCAAGAGCAGCTGGTTATGTCAGGACATCCAGCATCCCCGTTCATATGCAAATGCCCCTGGGATGTTTTCATTCTTCAGGCAGACACATAACAGCCTTCCTCCACCAGGCTCGTGATTCCTGGGATCCCAGCTCAGAGCCTTCCCAGGCCCCTGGGAAAGCAAGTCCAGCTCCCACTTTCAGGTGCCCCCATTAGCCCCAGCTCTGGCTGTGGGTATAGACCCGAATCTCCAAAGGTGACCTCAGGACAACTCTTAGTACTGGTGGATCCAAACCAGCCTTGGCAGGGGATGGAAGTCTCTGGGTGTTTCCCACCCTGCACCCGCACTGGGACAGGGGTACTGGGATATCTGCAGGTGAGGGAAGGGAGGGGAGGGGAAGTCGTGGTGCCACAGGACGCTCCTTCAGTAAGAGAGCACCAAAAGCTGGCAAGGGAGCGGGGGACACCCCAAGGCTGGGAGCCACCCACGGGTCAGGAGAGACCCCAGGACCAGGAGTCACCTCAAGGTCAGGAGCCACCCCAGGGCCAGGAGCAACCCCAGGGTTGAGGAGCCCACCCCAAGGTCAGGAGCCACCCCAGGATCAGGAGCCTCTCGCAAATTAACACGTTCTTGCCACGTCCAGGGTTTGCTGGGTCAGCTGAGGAGACACCAGCCGAGGCAGGAGGGGCTGAGCAATTGCCTCCTCACCTCCACACTCTGCCCCAAGAAACACCATGTCCTGAGCAGGGAAACTGTCCCCACAGTGTCTGAACCTGCCCAGAGCTCTCGAGTCAGATTTAGGGTTAAGCTCTTTAGGACAGGCCCTGTCCTTCACTCGGTGTCAGGCCGAGCGCTCGGGGCCCTGATCTCCACGGCCTTTGTGTATCCCCATAATGTGATAAACACCGGTGTAATCCCCTCGGCTGTCCACCTGCCAGCTCCCCTCACGGCTCCGCTTGCACAAGCAGCTCCTGGCCAAGCTCAGGCTCACAAACTTTGGGATGGCTTCCCCGGGAAAAGGGCTCTCGGGGCTGGCAGCCCTGGGTGTTGTGCTGGGGCGGTGTGGCCGAGGCCCAGCGATGAGGGGAGATGGCTACAGGTGCCGTGGACCCGTGGTGGGTGCCAGCCCCACTCCGAGGTGCCCCCCAGGCTGAGGACATCAGCCGTGTCACAGCCTGCTGCGGGGAGATGACTGCCTGGCAGCTTCATCCCCCGTGGAGAAAGCCCACCCTATATGACTCAACATCCCCGTGACACCCAGTTCCTCCCACATCATCCATCCCCGAGCTCCCGCGGTGATCCCGGTGACACCGTGAGCCAGGCCCGGCTCCTCGCCGAGTGCCCAGCCCTGCTCAGCCGCGGGGTTCCATGTCCTGGGGGGGGTGGCGGCTGCTCAACCAAATTAAAAACAGCACCGAGAAGGGCGGGGGGAGCTGTCGGGGGCGAGGCACAGCCGGGCAGCCCCTGCGTCCGCCTCCGCACGCCCGGGGCCGGGTCAGCGGAGCTCCCGGCCTCGGCGGGGCTGTTGCTGCCCCCGGGGCACCGGGAACGCCGGGGGGGAAATGAGGCAGAACAGAGTTATCCGTGCGGGCGGGATAACCGGGGACGGGGAAACGGCTGGGACAGGGCGGCCCGGGGCCCCGGGGATGTGCGGCCGCCTCCGCGGAGGGATGCGGAGCCCCGGCCACCGGCACTTGTTGCCCCGACGGCGGCGGGGC